TTATAATTGTTCAGAAGATCGTAATTATTGTTGTTGAGTTTGCTAAACTGCTGATATGCACTTAACTACATCACAATTCATGAATATATCAGAACCATGCATATGTGCCTTCGCCGCATGTATTTATATTATTTTGGGGTTGTCATCGATCGTAAGTTTTGAATACAGATTAAATGATCTTTTGAAATGCTTTACATTAAGTCATCTATTAGATCTTTGATGTGCGTCTGAAAGAATTTCCTCTTTATTGTTCTCAGGTTCAGCAACTAATTCAGGATGCAATAGATACAGACCGCCTCTGCCAAATGTTTCCAGGTTGGGGAGCTTGGTTGTAAGAGAATAAATCAACATATTTGACTTCCTCAGCCTGTAATTGTAAATTTTGCACGTATATGTACAGTCTAATGATTTTATAAACCAATATTTAACATTAAAATATAAAAATTATATTAATAGATGCATAGTCCAGTCTAATGAAAGATGTAATTTTGTATGGGTTGTTGTGACAGATCAATTAATTATTTATAAACTAATATCAACATTAAACTATAAAAAATATTCTAATTCAGTGTTAATTTAAGCTTTGTAACATTCTAGTCAATGAAAAGAGTTGACTTAAAAATTAAACAAAAGAGATCAGCAGGCAGGGATCTGGACAAGATTGAAGTAAGAAAGCAGCAAGTATCCGACGATGACAACGAAAGCAAAGAAATGTTAGAGCTGAAGCTCCGGAAAAGAAGACAACGGCGGCAAAGCAGCTGCTGGAGTAGAGAAGGCTCTAATTTTGTGGTGTGAGATATGTAAATATTTATGCCTTTTATTAAATAATTGGTTTTATGATATGGAAAGAGACTTTAAAATTAGTTAATCATTAAATGTTTTTAAATTTAAAAGCAGTTTACTAAAATATTGATAGAAAAATAAAAATATTACTATTACAAAATTATTAAATAAGATTTAAAAAAATTGTTTCGAAAAGTAAAATAAAGTTCAATTTTAACTTATTTGAAAAGAAATGTTCTTGTTCAATTGATCATCATATGAAGGCTGTTTCATGATTTAAAGATGGTTTGATTTTTGTTCACTTGTGGTTCAAAGATGATTCAATTTAATTTTGAATATACTTCGAACACTATTAGAACTTATTTTTTTTCGTTATCTTTTATCAAATTGACTTCACTTTACAACTTTGCGCAAAACTTGAAGGGGTGAAAATTTATAATGCAAGAGTTCAATAATTGTTCATCTTTTGTTGTTGTATAAAGAGAATACATCAGCATGGGTCACGAGGAGATCCGACTTCATAAGATAGAAAGCTAAAATTAAAGAGGGGCCACTGGCATAAGACCAGAAACCCCACTTATCTGTTCGAACGTAATAGTTTGAACCAACGCCAACAAACTAAGGTCAAAGCTGATCAGATGTAACCATTCGAGCTAGAAATACGTCCCGAATCCATCAGGCCAAGACAGAACACATAGGCATGCAAGCTAGCCACAATAAAAAAGTCTATTACTGTCGAAAATCAACATTTCGATAGATCAAACTCAAGCAAAGACTTAGGTCCTCCCATGATGCTCTAAAGACTTTATCAGGGGAGTCTAAATTGTCCCTCCATCTCTCCTTGTTGGTTAGTGAGCTACCTATCAAGTTATGGATCAATAAAAACTAACCTATCGAATTGGTCATGTGAACTTGAAGTTAATTGAAGGCACCTGGCAACCTCGACGGGACATAGTCAATTCAGCAGACCATACCAATTCAAGAACCACATAAGCCAATTGAGCTAGAAGGTATATGAGCCATAGGCCCATATATAAAAAATACAAAAAATATCATGTAAAGCCCTGATTAAGGTGAGGACAAATATGTAACTTTTGATATTGAACTCTCCTTGGGAATCATTTTATGAAATAAATAAGTCATTTTAAAATTCAATACATTACAATTTTCTCTCTCTATATATCTCTTTCTCTTTTCCTGTGATTTGTTCCCTCGAGGTGTGATTACAGATCAGGATTCAACATGTGTAGTGAGTGTGAATCATTTCAAAGATGAGAAAAGGAGCAGCACACGGAGAATAAACCCACACAAAAACACTAGTAACATGAAGTGCACTAAAGAGTTTGTAAACCAGCACCGGATCATATGATGAATGTCATCCAAGAGTCATTGGCCTGGGGAAGAGAATTGTACCCCTGAGAGGAAAGGTTAACGCCCAACAGTGGAAGAGCCTCCTTAGTCTTTAAAAGGTTAAGGAGGTTCCCAATACATTGATGAATACCAAATAATTATAAAAAATAAAATATAAATTAAAAACAATACAAAATCAAGTTTAATGAACTCACTAAAGTCAGAAGCACTCAATAAAAATAAAAGCAAAATTAAAATTAAAAATGTATTTTAAGTGTTTTTCTAAATTAAAAAAAAAATTATTTGGTAGTTAAGTGATAGCATGCCTTATATGAATGTCAAAATATAAACTTTGGGTGTTACATTCTTAGTTACTGAACTGGGGCTAAGAACTGTACCCTTTTGATCGTCTGATCCCGAGAATATAGTTGTGAAATGTCCACTTGTTAGTTACTGAACTGGGGCTAAGAACTGTCCCCTTTTGATCGTCTGATCCCGAGAATATAGTTGTGTAAAAATTATATAGTTGACTCCGCTATGCAACGGTGCCAAAAGCTTGATGTAATATTTTATGAATAAGAAATTTAAGCAATTAATGTTGGGATTCTATGCAAGTATACGTGTCGTTATCATGTAATAAATGACTTTTTATTTAAGCCTCAATTTGATCCCACGGGGAATGTTTAAATTTGAAATGATAAATTTACTAGGAAATTCACAGAAAGTCAATATGAAATTACTGTCACTAATTTTGAATATTGAGATATTATCAGAATTAAATTATTTAACTAATAACAAAATTGAATTACAAAGTTTAAACAGTAACTACTAAACTATTAAACTATTAAACTATATTTATGTGATGAAGATTTCTTATGTGAAAAAACATATTTCCCACTACAATGAGGTTTGGTAAAATGAGATGAGATAAATGGTTCAATTATGTATTGTGCTAAATAGGAGCAGTTTTAATTCTATACCATGATGCAGTGTTATAGAAAGTCATTGGCTAATCTCAGGTTTAGTCCCTAAATCCGTGGTTAGGCTAGGAGGATATTGGCTCCCACTCCAGAGCTCCCACTTCCCTTCACCTGAAGGCTAACTCTCACTTTAGTTTTTAAACACTAAGATCGAATTGGGGATTTTAATCTGTCACCCTAAAGGTTCTCCAATTCTACACCCAATAAAGTATATTTTCCTATTTACTTGCACTTAATTTCATGAATAAAGTTCTCCTTCATAGTATCAAATGTGATTCTCACTCTGTTGTAGAACTAGTACTTTACTTCCTGGATGATATGTTTCACAAAATATTTTAACAATTCAATTGGTCAGATCGAAAAGTAAATTAAGTTCGGAGTTGAAAATCACAATTTATTTTATATTTTAATATTGACACATTCATATTATCTATTCATTTCACCATATTTCAGAGTAGGAAGAAAGATAAAGTAAGCTACTCAGACTTCATGAGAAAGATACAACAAAACACAAATTTCATATATAAAAGAAAGTTCATATAACACTAATAAACAAACAACATTTATCTGAAACTCTTTCTCAAAGCAAATCCCTTGTAGCCTCTTCTAAGAAATGAAAGAAGAAGAAATCTCTCACTTTTCTTATTCTCCAATACTCTTAGAGAAGAGTTCACACCTAATCTCACCACAAAACTCTAAATTATAAGAACAATGAACTCTAAATGGTTGTGGAATAAAAAATGAAGGAATGTGATGTGTGGAAAGTTGAATTGGGGCAATGGAATGGCAGGAAGAGTCACTTTTTTGATCAATTTCGGCCCCAAATAAAGCCTAGAGTTAATTCTCCAATAAGTGCCTCCAAAAACTCTTCAAAATGCATCCAAATTTGTTGAATCTTGCGTACATATTCGTTGAATCTTCTAGAAATCAGGGTTGAACCGACATTGGCGCCATTGGTGCCAGTGTCCCGTAATTAAATTCAATGCTCTACATCAAACAGTGCCGTCGGCGCAGCTTCTAGCGTCGTTGGTGCGAACAAATTTCAACTTCTTCACTTTTGCTCCAAATTTCATCCTTTTTGCTTCCTTCTTGCTTCAATTCCTAAAATTTAACAACCTGCAAGAAAACATACAAATACCTTCCATTAAAGTGCAATATCACTAAAAATGAGTATAAAATATGGGTCTAATAAAAATGCAATATCACTAAAAATGAGTATAAAATATGGGTCTAAAAATGCATATATTTTTGGTGTATCAAAATCTCCCAAACTTACATTACTTGTCCTCAAGCAACTCCTTTACTATATAAAAATATGACTTATGGTAATAAAGACCTTAACTTTTAGACTTCCATATTTTAGTTTTTGAAATATAATAGTATAACTTAAGAAAAATTCAACATAACTCCAGTTAATAGTAAAGGTGTAAAGATATTCAATAATTAAGTCTAAGGTTTCTGATCGTCTATTTCTTTCAAGAAAAATTGCAATTTGTTATATTAAAGTCACTTAGCAAAATGTAGCAAGCTTTCTTTTTTAAATTGATTCAAGTGAAGCCAATTTTTAATTATGCATCTTCTCAAGCTTCTCCCCACATCTTTTCTTTTCTTTTCTTTTTCTTTTCTTTTCTTTCATTTTCCTTTCTTTTCTTTTCTTTTCTTTTCTATGTTTGAGGATTACTATATCTGGATAGTCTTTAATGATTTTGAACTTCACTATCCTCTTCTTAAAGTCAAAAACATGTCCCATTTCTTCACTTAACAAATTTATATTAGCTTAAAGATTTCATAAAGTTTAATTCTTTTCTTCTTACATGAACCTTTAAGATTTTTAATATTTATAGTCTTTTTCTTTTATACCAAATATCTTAATCTCTAAAATTAACCTTTATTATTGAAAATTTTTACTTAAGTTTACTATATACTTAGAAACATAAATATAGTTATCTAAAGTTAACCCCTACTACTAAAGGTCATGTTAAATTTTAATTTTTTTTTGAAAATATAGTTAAGTGAGAACAAATAAAATTAAGTTTCTTTCTTTAAAAAAGAATTTTTCTTTCCAACCCAAACTTAATTTTCTTAAATATTTAACATGAAGAACTGAAAAATAAAGGGTGAAATAAAACATTAAATACATAAAAAAAAAGACATACCTGTTGAAGGTTCTGATTTTGAAACTTTAATTTTGAAATACTATAAAACATAATACATATAAAATCTATTGAGAAAGAGTTAATTACACCACATTTAACAAAATACTGAAACTAACAACATAACTAAACTGAATTTCAAAACTGAAAGCAGTTTTACAAACTACAATTCAAAACTCAATATAACTATAAAACAAAGTCTCACAATCTAACAAACAGTCTCAACAATATATAAAAAAAACAAACAACACAACAACAAAGTATAATCAAATATAAATAAAAGAAATCAGATCACCAGTCATCATCATCTTCTTCTTCTACATCCAAATTCTGCCGCTGATATGGAGTAAAAACAGAGTGAGTAGGAAACTGAACTGAATGATCACCCCTCATATATCTCACCAACGCATCATCATAA